ATGTATAGGCAGTGGGAAGAGGACACATTTCCTTTTTCTAAGAGAAAGAGTTCGAGCCTCATTCCTAGGTTCATGCACAGACAGGAGCAGCTCTCCAATACCAGATAACCTAAATGTGTCTGTATTACCTGTTTATTTCATTAAAGTAATTTTAGGGTGGGTTAACATGTTTAATTTTAAAAATTTTTTGTACAGTATAGATACTTTAAGCATTCAAAACAAAACAAAAGCAAAACTAATCCCAGGCTTGAGAGAATTTGCTTTGCGTAACACATGTACATACCCACAAAACACCACTTTGGACATGCATATTAAAAAGGCAATCAGAATTTTTGTTGTGTGTGAGGTTTTGATGTCTAATAATACCAGTTCAATAGCAATTCTAAACTTTGAAAGAGGCTGAATGTTATATTTTTAAAAACTTTAAGTTGGTAAAACAGCTTTCACCCAGCCCATGTGCTACCTGGTATGGAACTAAGCTCAGATCTGCTTGGAACTATATGGAGATAATGCATCTTTAGAAACAGCAACTAGAAGTATAAGGTCTCAGCAGAAGGAGAAAACAGAATAAGAAACAAGTATAATTAGGAACAGAAGTGTATAGTACATTGTAGAAAAACCTCCAGTGAAGATCGTTGAGTTAAAGTCATTGCTTAGCCATCTCTCCTTCTCGGGGCTGGATCCAGTACAGTGCCCTCGGAGGCTGACCCACACGGGAGGGTTCCAGTTTCCCATCCCAGGACCTCCTGGGCATACCGAGTGCTCATGTGCCCATGATCTGGGGCTGGCTGAAGCTGAAGGTGGACCACAGTGTGAAGACCCTTTTGAGGTGTGTTTTCTCTCTTTCTTTCTCAGAAGAGAGAAATGAATGGACGTGGGAGGTGGAAGGGAGTTTACCTCTCCCCAAAATTTGTATGTGGACAATGTCGGAGTAATTTTAAGATGGTGAAGAAAATACCTGCTTATTAATGGATGAAAGTTACTAGGAAAGGGTGAAATGTATTCCTTTTGGGTTCTTAAATGTAAAAGCATTATTGGTAATAAGCAGAATATTTCTAACTCAAAAGGAGATACAACTTCAGAGGTGTGTCTTCAGATTTGTGAAACACAGGGTTTCATGGTATTTCAGTGTTAAATTATTTCAGATTTCAGTATTATTCAAACAAAAAGATGGATCAAGGCACTTTATATCAAGAGAACTTATATCTGCATAGACACTTATGATTTTGGAGGTTGATGCCCCTGAAGGGGTTGGGGTGAAGCTGAGAGAGGGTCTGACATGCGTCCTCAGGAGCAGTTGAAAGCTCTCGGGAAGTGACTATGGGTGGAACACTAGTGCCCCTTCTCCTGTTGGAAGAAGAGGGTCTTCTGTATGGGAACACCTTATGCACCGGGCACAGAGGTAGGCTCAGGGTAATTCGGGATTGTACTGGGCAATCTCAGCCGGAAATCTTTTAACCGAAGAAAGGATGTGTGAATGGCCATTGCCTTGCCTTCCTGACCATTGCATCTCTCAGGGTTTCAAGGAATTGCTCATTAAAACATGAGTGTAAACAGAAGACTCGTGGAAATGAGCAGGACCCTCAGAGAAGGAGATTCTGCAAATTTCAGCTGGTGATAGGCCAAGATAAATCTAATCAACATAGTCTCTACTTCTAAGGAAGCAAGAGTTAAGAATTTTTCAGAAGTCCTAATTCAGATGAATAATATCGCAAGATAGACTGAGAAGTTGTTAATATGTGGGACTGCTTAATAGACAGTAATAATGTCTGTCTTAAAAACAGAAGGTAGAAACTTTTCCAAAATGGGAATGAAACTAAATGCAGAATCTGTCGGCTCCTGAGCTTTGATGTTCCTTGGCAGCGTTCTAAAAGAAACTGTTAAACAGGTGGCTTACGAAGAGCCATGAGGTGGCGTTGTGTTTTCTAGGAATACGTCATGTCATGTTGAGCTAGTCATCCTAATCAGACTTCTTTCCGCATTTCAGTTGTGTTGCTAAGCTAGAACAGTGAGGGATGTAAAACTTCTGGCAGAATGTATGTACTGTGTGTATACCACGAGAGCCTATGAAGAGTCATCAAAATTTTGCATGTGGTTACAGCTGCTGGAGTAACCAGACACCAGGAAAGGTGACTGATAGGCTAGTGTCAGTCTGGAAATGGGCCTCCAGAGGTTTGAGAAGGAGTGTGTTCTTGACACTATTTATGTTCTCATAAATAATAGAGTCTTCATGACATAAGCTATTAGGATTAGCAAATATGTTAGACATTACACTCTGGATTTAGGAGGATTTTGACCAACTAGAACTGCCTGAAAACATAAAAATAATTAAATTTCATCAAGACAAAAATAAAATCTTATTCTGAGCTCCAAAAACATAATCATGTAAATGACTAATAGAGAGATGTAGTGTGGTAAATAATGTTAAAAAAAAAGATTCAGGGATTTTTAAAAATAATTTATTTTATTTATAATTTTTATTATTTTTAAATTTGCTACAGGATACATGCACTGACGAGAGAGAGAGAGAGAGAGAGAGAGAGAGAGAGAGAGAGAGAGAGAGAGAGGAAAAGAAAAAGAGAGAGCGCGCGCGAGAGAGAGAGAGAGAGAGATAGAGAGAGGCAAGGAAAATGAGAAAGCAAGCCACCAGATTTGGGACCTGAACTGTGGTCAGTCATGTGGGAGTCTAGTGCCTTCACCACCACACCATCTGCTAGTCCCAGATTTCGGGATTTTTTTTTTTTCTTGAGAATTTTTTTGCCGTAAGGCACGTGTGCTCACTAGAGAGAGATACAGTGAGAGGGAAAGTGAGAAATCACCCTGTAAAGGAGATGGCCACACCACAATCCCTTCTCCTCCATTCTCCTCCCAGGATGTTGGGCACACACACACGCACTCAGCATTTTTAAGCCACCAGGTCTGGGACTCGAACTGCAGTCAGCCATGTGGGAGTCTTGCATCGTAGCTGCTATGTCATCTGTCAGCCCCAGATTTAGGAATTTTTGTGGTTGTAAATTAAATGTAGCTCCTGAGGCTATGTGGCTACCTAAGCGTATGGTGTTTGGGCTGCATTCATAGAGGCATGTGTCAGTCAAAAGCAGCACGCTGCATTACACTCAGCTGGGCAGACCGTACAGTGCCTGCTCTGTACCCTTTACCATGAGTCAAATGGCTCATTCTTCTGGGAGAAAAATAGCAGCAGAACAAGTTGGGGAAAGTGCTGGGAATGGAGGACTTCGGAATGTGTGTGGTTGACAGAGAAACATACCTCGGCCCCTTGAGTGGATGTCTCAGGAGGTACATTTCTCCACACCGTGAGGAAGCGCAGTCGTGTCGAAACCGCTGTTTTGTCTCTGGGAAGGGCTGAGGCAATAGCAGACCTGTCAGGAATGTCAGAGGAGATTCCTGTGTTGGACTGAGTCAGATCAACCGCAAACAACAAACATTTCATTGAGCTAGAGGAGACACTGGAGCCTGAGGATGTTTCTGGCTCTGAATTTTGATGACTCTAATGAGCCAAGTACTTGTGGTGAGGCTGGAGTCGTCCAGGACTACTTGAACTATCACCCTGGCCTGACGTCTGTCTAGACCTGTGCCGGGCAGAACGGTGGCCACGAGCCACCATGGCTGTTGAGCACTGAAAACACAAAGGTTAATTGAGCTGTGCTCTGAGCGTGACGTTCCTGTTGGTTTCGAAGACTTAGGATATATATTTCCATACTGTTATAGACTAAAATGACAAAAATTTGAATGTATTGGGTTGGATAAAATACATTATTAAAATGAAGTTTACCTTTTTCTCATTATAATATTTTGCCTGTGGCCCTGAGCACATTTAAAATTCCCTCAGAGACTTGCATCGTATTTTTCTTTGAAGGGCTGCTCTAGCGTTTAGGTTTTAGAGTTATTCTGATTTATAAATGTTGGGTTCTCTCTTCTTTTGTCTGTAGACCTGAGAAGATGGCGAAACTCCCAGTGATTTTAGGAAATCTAGACATTACAATTGATAACGTTTCCTCAGACTTCCCCAGTAAGTATAAATCCTATGTAATAAGCAGACAAAATTTTTGTTTGTTTGGTCTCTACTTCAGAGTAGATTGTTTTGAATATCTTTTCAGATTATGTTAATTCCTCATACATTCCAATGAGGCAATTTGAGACTTGTACTAAAACTCCAATTACGTTTGAAGTAGAGGAATTTGTGCCCTGCATACCAAAGCACACTCAGCCTTACACTGTCTACAACAGTCACCTTTATGTTTATCCTAAATACTTGAAATACGACAGTCAAAAGACTTTTGCCAAGGTAAGTGCAAAGAGTAAAGCTTCATTCTTTTTTTTTTTAATTGCCAGTGGGTGCTCGTTCTTGCCAGAGACAGAGGAGGGGGAGAAAGTACCCCCTAATGAGGTGTGGCCACACCACAATCCCTTCTGGTCCATTTCTCCATTCTGTCGGGATTTGGTGCCTCTGTGCACATGCGCCTGGCATGTTTTTCAAGCTGCCAGAATGGGATTCAAATTACAGTTGGCCTTGTAGAATCCGGCTCCCTTCACCACCAGACTATAGGGCCAACCAGGTAGTTTCCTTCTTGATAGCAAAGTTTTCCTTAGGATTTGGCTTCTATGTTCTTTTTTTTTTTTTTTTTTTTTGGAGAGATTTTCACTGTAGGGCGCTTGCGCTCGCCAGACAGACAGAGAGAGACATAGAGACAGAAAGCGAGAAATCACCCCCCAGGGAGGATGGTCACGCTGCAATCCCTTCTCCTCCATTCTCCTCTCGGGATCTTGGGCACACATGCACACGCGCCCGGCATGAGTTTTAAGCCACCGGGTCCGGGACACGAACCACGGTCGACTACGTGGGAGTCCAGCGACATAGCCATTACGCTAACTGCTGGTTCCCCTATGTTCTTTAACAAATTATATATTCTGACTTTTTGTTATTTTTTTTACATTTTTCTTTAAATATTGCTGCAGGCCAGAAATATTGCTATTTGCATCGAATTCAAAGATTCAGATGAGGAAGATTCTCAGCCCCTGAAGGTTTGTTTCTTACTTGTGTTTTTCTGGGTATTCTGAATTTTTCTTTCAAAGTGTATCAACGTGATACTGTACAACTAACAAAATGTAGCTCATTTTAATTGCTACAAACCGAAAACATAAGATATCATGATATATGGTGGCCCATACTAAACCTTATAGAATACGTATACTTAATTCCCACTCCTAATATCTGTCTGTTTTATGACTCTCTTCAGGGGTGAACGTGTCTCACACGTACTCAGTTTAGTAAGCACTTACTGTGCACCTGCTAGGAGCCAGGCATTGCATGAGTGCTAAGAATTATGATGTTGATAGTAGAAGTAATAATAGATTAACAGATGATCCGTATGAGATGCTAATTGTAGCATAGTAGCAGATTATAGGTAATGTTTATTAAATGCAGCTCATATTCCAAGCATGTTTAAATTTGGTTTTCATAATAGTCTTTTGAGTGAGGTACTGTTATCACTGTAATTTTTAGCTATGAGGCCTAAGCACAGAATTTAATTGCTTCATACATTAGTGGAACTGAGATTAAAATGCAGGCAGTCTGGGTCCAGAGCCCAAATTTTTTATGTAACAGTGTTAAAACAACTTTTCAAGAAAAGGATACCAGGATGCAAAACTACTGTATTTCCCCGAGAAATTCATAGTTCAATAGGAAAGACATTTGTGGGGATAAAGATCCTGGCATCCAGAAGGCACTGAAATGATTTTTTTGGACAAAACATAATCATTAGTGTAGAAAAATGCCTAGGGACACAGAGGAAGGAGTTAAGAGTTCTGGAAGATGCACTAGAGTTTGGTGCATTTAGAAGCGAAGGCCATTTGGACAGAAAAGTTGCATTGGGAAAGGCTGGATGGAGGTGTACAAGAAGACAGTGAGCAGGGCATCGTCCAGTGTGACAGCCTGGAGGAGGGGAAGGGGATCGGACCAGCGGGCCTGGAGCCGAGCTGGGAGGTGGGCTGGCCTCAGCAGAAAGGGGCTCGCAGGCCTGGAGTCTTGCAGGCAGACGAGGCCATCAGCGGTGGTTGTGTAAGGCCATGCTGTCGGAGCACTGCTGCTCTGAGACGCCTCCTAGTTTAGTCTCCTGCTCCACTAACTGAACGCTGCTGTTTCTCTTCGCTCTTACGGTAGTGCATTTACGGCCGGCCTGGCGGGCCAGTGTTCACAAGAAGCGCCTTTGCTGCTGTTTTACACCACCACCAAAACCCCGAGTTTTACGATGAGGTAAGTGATGCTTTCAAGAGAAAACTCATTTTGAACCAATTTTATGGAAAACTCCAACTGGTTTGCTTGCTAAAGTAAAATTCAAGAGAAGCCACACAGTGTATTGAAACGATGATGATAGAACTGAGTCTGAAATAATTTGTTTGATAAGTGGGATCGTCAATAAGTTCATATAAAATGCATATTACAAAAAAAAAAAAAAAGTGCCTGGGTTTCAAATTCTTTTTTGCTCCCAAATAAACTTGTACTTTAATCTCGTTTTTCATGAACTCTTTGAAGTCTCCTTGTATATATTTTTCTAATTATAAAAATAACATATTTGTTGGAAATAAAAGCTTGAGAAATGCAGATAATAGAGAAAAGAAAAGATCAGAATCCCACCCTCACTACCACAATTAATCTAGCCTATTTCCTTTCTAACTCATGTATCACCAGGTTGTCGGCAAAGTCATGACACATTTTCCTGTTTTTCTGTGCAAAAATGCATCATGACTTTCCAGACAGCCCAATAGTTCCATTTGTTGTTACTGGGTTTGCTTAGACAGAATTATAATGTGGTTCATTAAAACTGCTAAATGGTCTTTTTAAAATGTTCTACCATGGTTTTTCGTAGTGTCTTGACTGTAGTTAAGTAGCGGTGTCATGCATTTTCCCATTTTTTCATAGAAATGCCTTTCAGTCTTTCTGGTTCTGGTCAGTGAGTTCAGGATCTTTTTTTCCCTTGACCCACTGTACACCCTCACATAGCTTTGAATGCAAATGTTCTATCAGTTCTTTGAGCACGTGCGCCTTCGTACATTGGGTGACGAATATCTGTGCTTTGACTAAGGCTGTTTGGTGTTTCGGAATGCGAGAAGGATTGCTATTTTGTCTTCCTCACAGGTTAAAATAGAATTGCCCACCCAGCTCCACGAAAAGCACCATTTGTTGTTCACGTTCTTCCACGTCAGCTGTGATAACTCGAGTAAAGGAAGCACGAAGAAGAAGGACGTGGTGGAAACACAAGGTTGGAAACTTCACCAGTCCTTTGATTTTTGATCAGTTTTATATCAGCTTCTTCCATCATATTTTGACTGTGAATTTGGATCCTTCGGTGAAGGGATTTTGATGAGGTTTATAGATAGCATGGACATGGCAGGAAGGTAGTATTCCTGGGCTGTATGCATCAATTTTTATAAAATAAAATTTCAGAATTCTAATCGAAGAGACCAAAGTGCATTGAAGACAGAGTTCTACAGGACTGTATTGGGGGCCTTATACATTTCTTAGCTCTGATTGATATAATAATTCTTACAAACCAGTGTCACATTGGCATTCTGTTCTCATGCACTCACAGTGGATGTTTTTGTTCTTTGTCTTCCACAGTTGGATATTCCTGGCTCCCTCTCCTGAAAGACGGAAGGGTGGTGACCCACGAGCAGCACATCCCAGTCTCCGCTAATCTTCCTTCCGGCTACCTTGGCTACCAGGAGCTTGGCATGGGCAGGGTATAGGACTTTAAAATCAATTTATCTCGATTCCATCAGAAAACATTATAAAGAACAACAACAGTAACACCAAAAAAGCAGACAGTATTTTTGGCAGCCCCAACATTTTGATTTTAGTTATTCTCTTTCAAGTAAACATAGGCCATTGGAAGACAGTGTTTACTGCTTTATCACGATGTCAGAATCATAGTTGGGGCATTTTATAAACCCTGAACCAGTAGCACTACAGTAGGGAAATCAAGACTTGGAGATACTGGGTATGGTGAAAGACTATCTCTGCATACTAGCATGCTCAAATACAGATGAGTTCTTAGGGCCATGCAAAAATTTTTAGGAATTTTCTTTGAGCTTAATGTAAGTTTAGTAAGCAGATCTCTTTTCCCCATGGTAACCCGTTCTGAACTTTTTTTTTTAATATAGAGATTTTTGCCTTAGGGCATGTGTGCTCACTTTTAGAGAGAGACATGAGACAGTGAGAGGGAAAGTGAGAAATGACCCCCCAAGGTTGGGATGGCCACACCGAAATCCCTTCTGTTCTCCTCCCGAGATCTTGGGCACACACATATACATGCCCGGCGTGACTTTCAAGCCACTGGCTCCAGGACTCAAATCACAGTCGGCCATGTGTGAGTTCAGTGATGTGACCACTACGCCATCTGCTGGCTCCCATTCTGAACCTTTTCAGTCACAAAAACCTGCTTGTTTCTGTTGTTTTATTTTTAATTTGCCAGAGAGCACATGCATTCACCAGACAGAGCGAGGGAAAATGAGAAAGCAACCCACTCCCACATGGGGCATGGTCATGCCACAATTTCTTTTCCTGTTTCTCTCTCCTTCAGGATTTTGGGCATGCACACATACCTCACATGCTTTTTAAGCACTGGATCTGGGACTTAAACTGTATGGTCAGCCATGTGGGATCCCACCAGGCCATGGGCTGTCCTGAAAGCTTGGTTTTGACAGATTTCTCCAACTAGTTTGATGGCTTTGTATTCTTTTTAACCAATTTAAATTTTATAGACCTCAGTTTTATAATGTGGTTAGATAAGCCTGTTCTTTTAATGGTCTGTGCTTTTAGGTAATGCCAAAGTTGGGCCCATATTATGGACACATTTAAAATATTCCAAAACAAGGGTAAATTGTATAACTTTTGGTTATATTTCTAGTGTGAGTATGACTTAAAAAAAAAAAATGGAGGTCTCAGAAGTTAAAATAAGCGCAAATGGATGATTGACCCTTTGCCTGGTACCTTCTACTATCCTTTTTAGGCTCCTAAACTCAAATTTGGTTAAAATACTAGTGAAGTAGGATTCTTTTCCTCTCAAATGAACAGTAACCCACACAGCTGCAACTAAACAGAAAAAAAAGAAAATCATAGAAAGTTGGGACCAGCAGTTAGCATAATGGCTATGTCACTGAACTCCCATGTAGTCGACCATGGTTTGAGTCCCAGACCTGGTGGCTTAAACTCACGCCGGGCACGTGTGCATGCATGCCAAGATCCTGAGAGGAGAATGGAGGAGAAGGGATTGCAGTGTGGCCATCCTCCCCAGGGGATGATTTCTGTCTCCCTGTCTCTCTCTTTCTGGCGAGCGCATGCACCTTACAGCAAAAAACTCTCAAAAAAAAAAAAAAAGAAAGAAAGAAAGAAAGAAAATTCAATAAGAGCATTATGGGGGAAAAGATGGGTGGAAATTAGCATCAGCTGGACTCCTGCTAGAAGCAGGGTACAACTATCAGGTCACTGACTCTTCGTGCCCTCCATCCCTTATCAGTAACCTCATTGATGATTATGTTGGAAGCCAAGATAACTAATATGTTAGATTGTTTTTCTTTTTTATTTTTTCAGCATTATGGTCCAGAAATTAAATGGGTGGATGGAGGCAAGCCACTGTTGAAAATTTCAACTCATCTGGTTTCTACAGTGTACACTCAGGTTGGTGCTGTTCCATTAAAATGAGCTGTGATTGGCCAGTGACTCAGTTCGCACCTCTTTTTAAAAGACAAAATCCTTGGGACCAGCAGTTAGCGTAATGGCTATGTCGCTGAACTCCCACGTAGTCTACCGCGATTTGCGTCCCAGACCCAGTGGCTTAAACTCATGCCGGGGTGACTCGTCTGGTGAGCGCACGTGCCCTGTAGTGAAAACCTCTAAAAAAAAAAAAAGACAAAATCCTTATGTGTTGAATGTATGTGTTTTTACTATATGTATATATTTTTTAAGAAAGTACATATACAATTTTATGTACTGATATAAATGACTAGTACAAATAACATTCTTTAACAGTTTTTCTTTCTCTTCGGTTGAAGAATATTTTTAATGTCATTTTTGTGTGATCAGTTTCATAGTCTAAAAAAAATGCATGCTTTATGAATCAAATACTTCTATTTCTGTAGCATGAATGCTAATAGACGTTCTTTCTTCCCTTCCCCCAGGATCAGCATTTACATAATTTTTTCCAGTACTGTCAGAAAACCGAATCCGGAGCTCAAGCCTTAGGGAGTGAACTTGTGAAATACCTGAAGGTATCAGATGTCTTCCTTAATTGTCCCTTTTTAATGGGTTTGGAGTGCATTGGGTTTTCTGTTTGGTGCCAAGTGTTGTCCATGCCCCTTGGATGTTGTCACACTGATAGCATCTGTGTGCTTGCGACTTTAGTCCTCACCCTCAGGGACATGTAGCTTAATGTAGGAGATGATGGCAGCTTGGTGACTGCATACCAGATGGGGAAGAATACACGTAAACAGCCCCAGCGTGTGCAGGGGTGAGGAGGTTCCTTGAGTCAAGCGAGAGCAAGATAGGGTTTATTGAGGGGAGTTAAATCCAGAGTATGATTGTGGGAGAGCATTTTGACAAAGGAGAATTGTTAAAAGGGCACTCTTGACACAGGGACAAATAAGAAATGTGAGAAATGGGGTAGAAATTAAGTGTAAGCAAGGCAAGTGAAATGTATAGGTGAACAAATGGCTAAAATAACACAACCTTCATTATGTAGGAATACACACACATGCATACAGACAATGAAGTTTTCTTTATTGGGTCGTTGGGAAAGTCATAATACATCTTCGTATAGAAAAACAGAAAAACAGTCGTGACTTTCATGACAACCTAAGATATGTGATAGCTTGTGGCTTCTTCCTCCATCACAATGACAACAGGGAGGCATCTGTCTGACCACCCTTCCTTAGTCATAACTCCCTGACTTTCCTTGTCTGCCTCCCTTTTCCAGTTCAAGGGCCTTTGGGACAATGTTAGGCCCACCTGGATAATTCGTATCTTAAGGGCAACTGATTGGCAAGCTTAATTCCCCTTTGCTGTGGCAGCATTTTCACAGCTTCTGAGAGTTAGGACTTGGACATCTTTGAGGGCCAGTTTAGAGGGAGTGCTTCATCCTTATTTGAAACTAGGTGAAAATTACTTTGGTAATTTTGAGTCAAATTACTTTGGTTTCTTTCTGAAAAGATAACATGAGCCCTGCCATCCCTCCTGCAGAGTCTACATGCGATGGAAGGCCACGTGATGATCGCCTTCTTGCCTACCATCCTAAACCAGCTATTCCGAGTCCTCACCAGAGCCACACAGGAAGAAGTCGCAGTCAACGTGACTCGGTAAGAGAGGTGGATGGATAAATCTTCTCTTCCAATCTGTTCACATCTGGAGCATAGTCATACATATCTGGGGTGCTAGTATGTGCTAAACATGATATTTAAGAAATGTCTTTGGTCCCATACATGGGGACCCCATCTAATTCCTTGTCTTCTTGTTTCCAAAGTGCCAATAGCATCATCATTGTTCTACTGCTGCTGTGATACTAATGAAATGTTTCCATTTTCACAGTACTACTCATTGCTTTATTCATTCCTGTGATGTGTAGGGTCATTATTCATGTGGTTGCCCAGTGCCATGAGGAAGGATTGGAGAGCCACTTGAGGTCATATGTTAAGGTATGTAAAACAAACTGTTCCGATCGTTTACATCTGTGGCTCTCCAATGTTCCTTCTAAGGACTTATGTTTTACAAGCCTGGTTATTTTGGGATGTACCTGAAATTTAACACCTATGCTTTCTCTTCTATTCCTCATAGTCAATGCTTGGACCTGAACAAGGGGACATAAGATGGGGGGCATCCATTAATTTCTTTACTTCATCTTATTTTTAAACTACATTTTTAAATGGGTTTTCCAAGTAATGTGACTCAAATGACTTGAAAGTTTAAAGGAGAATTTTAAATTCCTCTAGGCTAGGCCTCTGGTACAGTTAATTATCTTCTCTCTCTTTTTTTTTTTTCCCTTTTTTTTTCAGTCTAAACTCCCCAGCCATGTTGTTTCTCCTAAGATAGGAGAGTCATAGTCAAACTAAATGACTACAAAAGTAGCTAAAGATGTCATTATGATACATATCAACAAGTTCTGTACATATATCCAACATTCAGTAAACTCAGGGGCTATCACTATTCTAAAAAGTGACACACATTAAGTTTTAGATACCTTTGTGAGTTATGTGCCAGTTTAAAAATTAAGGTTTGGGTTCTCCAGGATAGTAGTTACCCATGGTCTCAGCACACATGCCTTGCAGTCCCTAGTATAGATGGAGTCACAGACTGGATGGCCACTGATCGGACTATCAGATTATTCCCATTTTGATGGGTTCCCGAAAACATCCTAGGCTCCCTCTTTCTGTCACATGACAACCACCCTTCCCACCGTCATTTCCATACTCTCTTCTCCCACCCATGAAATTGTACCTCAGTCCCTGATCTCCATTCTTTGGAATCTCTTGAGCTTTTGCCCCAACTTGGAGAAGTAATACATTACAGTCTCTCTTTGTTTTCTTCTAAGTATGCTTATAAGGCTGAACCATATGTTGCTTCCGAGTATAAGACAGTGCATGAAGAACTGACCAAATCCATGACCACAATCCTCAAGCCTTCTGCCGATTTTCTCACCAGCAACAAGCTACTTAAGGTAAATCCAGCCAGTGTGACTTGTGGGTATTGAAACCTATTAGCAAAAATTCTGATTCCACAGCCTGATCCATTTCCCCTTTTTGTGTGCTTTTTGAGACAAACCTCACATCCTAAAAAGGGTAAAAGTTAGTTGTGCATTGTCAACTTTGCCAATTGTGTGTTGAGATAGGTATTGGAAAGAATTGCTTATTCTAAATTCACTGGCTCTTGAGTGTTAAGTCACTGTATTGAAATCAGTGGAGGACACAGTTTTAGAAACCATGAAGTGAGAGATTAGCAAAGAGGAAAACTACATAAATACTCCTGCAGTGCCTCTTGCCTGAGTGTACCAGTCTGAGTGTAGGTGTCCAGTTTCCTGGTAGGATGGAGGTATTTACTGTTGAACATGGGAGAGCAGAAAACGTCTGCCTCTCACCTCTTGGCTTTGAGGATAATTTGCTGAGAAGCCCACTTGTGTTTTAAGGCTACAATTGACTCATGTCAAGAACACTAGGAGCCTCAGATAGTTCACATCTTACCTACTGATTTGTTGCTTTTCTTACTGGGGTTCTGCTTTTTTTTCCTTTCAGTATTCATGGTTTTTCTTTGATGTGCTGATAAAATCCATGGCTCAGCATTTGATAGAGAACTCCAAAGTTAAGGTATGTTACTTCATGTGGAGGCTTGCCTTACTAGAGGGAAGTCTTTTTTATTGTGTTCATACCTAAAACTTATTAATGCTTTCTATGTACCAGTTACAAGACTGTTCCAAGTGCTTTATAAGTAATAAATCATGTTAGCTTCATAACAACTAAGAAAAGTGCTGTGCTTACCCATTTTAAAGGTGGAGACATTGAGATAACAGGGTGCTTGAATTACTTACTCAAGATCCTGCTGCTAGTGAGTGGAGGGAGCCAGGTTTTGAAACTGGTCTGGTTTCAAAGATTATGTTCCTGAATCACTGCATTATTAAATAAAAAAGTACCTTTTCCTTTGAGTAGCTCAGAAGACTTCAAGCTTATTGAAATTAGAATAGTAAGTAGTTTAGGAATTCATTGAAAACGTTACTACCCAGAGTTTATTATGTGCCTTGACCATTGTTGCCATTTCTCCTGGGGGTAGATGGGAGGGCTCATCAATTTCATGTCCTCCATGGACTCTGTTAGGTATTTCAGCTTTGGGGAGGCAAATGCATATTTTCAAATATCTTCTTTGCCCCATCACCTCCTTGTGGTGGTGCCTGGATATGTGGCTCATTGGGTGCCCTGCGCTATCTCTGGTTCCCACAGGGCTCCTTGAAATGACTGGTCTTGTCTCTGGACTGGTGCCCATCAAGGTGTGATTGGCTGCCTTTGGCTCTCTGAGGCTCAAGGTAGATACTTTTTTTTAAGGTTTTTGCCATAGAGAGACAGACAGGTACAGTGAGAGGGAAAGTGAGAAATCACCCCTCAGGGGACTTAGCCGGGCCACAATCCCTTCTCCGCCATTCTCCTTTCAGGATTTGGGACACACATAAACACACCCAGTGTGATTTTCAAGCTGCCAGTTTAGGCAGTTGAACTATAGTTGGCCATGTAGGAGTCCAAAGTGTTAAGCACCACACTGCTGGCCCCAAGGTAGATACTTTTTTTTTTTTTTTGGAGAGATTTTTGCTATAGGGCGCGTGCGCTCGCCAGACAGAGACATAGAGACAGAAAGCGAGAAATCATCCACAGGGGGAGTAGTCACGCCACAATCCCTTCTCCTCCATTCTCCTCTCAGGATTTTGGGCACGCACGCACACGTGCCCAGCGTGAGTTTTAAGCCACCGGGTCCGGGACGCAAACCGCGGTCGACTACGTGGGAGTCCAGTGACATAGCCATTACGCTAACTGCTGGTTCCCAAGATAGATACATTTTTAAAATAAAATTCCGATGCAGTAAACACACATGGCGATGTCACTTTCTCATTTTGATGATTCCGGAGCTCCTTCTGAGACTACCAGTCTTGCAGTTGTCCTTGTGACAACGACTTATTGTCGTATTATAACTGTAGAGAGGGGAGGGCCTGGTTGAGAGTGGTGCTGGGCACACTCTCACAGTAAATGCTTGTGCTGCAATGCTCGTGGGCAGAGAAGGAAGTGGTAAGGAGGGTCGAGGTCTGGGCCTCCTGCACAGGGAGCTGGACTCTCAGAGGAGGTCCTGGAAAGGCTGCTAGATTTAACTGGGTGGGAGTTTGGTGGTTCAGAACCTTAAGCTTAACTTTCTTCCAGTAGTATAGGCACGGGTGTCTGACCAAGTGGCTTCACCCTGCTTTTTTTTTTTTTTTCTTTTAAATCCAGTTTAATGATTCTGATTTTTGTGCTTAGGGAGATGCCAGATGGAAGTGGGCCCTGCCTTCCGTAGAGAAACACACCATCTCAGTCTTGCCAGGAAAGCCTGCCAGGGAAAAATCTAGCTGTATCTACTTGGCAGTATGCAGCTGAGTGTGCATACGTGCACACATACACGTATTTGGACATACTTCTCTTTTTGAAATATCATACACAAAATAGAATTACAGCCCGTAGTAGTTTGCTGGGGTTGCTGTAACAAGGTGCCACAGACTAGTTGGCTTAAACAGCAGAAAGTTCTTTTCAGTTGAGATGCTCAAAGTCCTAGGTCAGGGTGTCTGTAGGGTTGGTTTCTCTTGAGGCCTCTGTCTGGTTTGAAGACAGTCACCCTCTCCTGTACGTGTCTGTGTCCTAATCTCTTCTTATGAGGACACAGTCATATTGTATGAAGGTTAGAACACAGGAGCAATATTGTAGCCTTTGAAATGAGAAGGAACTTGGAGACTGAAAAGTGACGCAAGCAACTCCATGGAACAGTTACCAGGAGTTTATTAGGAGGTAATTTACAGATTGGAAGGGATGAGCTGATGGCAACCCAGAAATCTTCACAGCCACTCTCTTCACTGTCGTTGAGAAGCTGGCGTTCTTGAAGAGAAAGCAAAGAGGTTGAATACTAGCTCCTGTTTTGGAGATGTTGTTGACCCTCTTCCCCTTCTCAAAATTATTCATCTTTTCCTAACAGAGGTCAGCTGTGTCAGTGAGGGTGCGAGTGCGAGGCAGAGTGTGGAGGGAGTAGAGGCCCCAAGATGGTGTTAGTCCTTACACAATGGAGTCAGTCTGGTTCATTCACATCCAAGGCCTACCTATATGACCTCACTTTACCTCAATCACCTCTTTAAAGACCCTGTCTTTAAATACAGTCACATTCTGAAGCACAGGGTAGGAAGGTGGGGGAGAGAGTTTGGGCTTCAGTATTCAAGGGGTCAATAGGAGTTGGTGGGGTGAAGAAGGAGAATTAACACCAGATGGAGGAGAGAACTGTGATAGTGAGCAGCCGAGACCCTGCGTGTCCTTAGGACTCCGGTGAAGGCTGTGTGAAAGGTGGAACACTCCCAAGATGTCTGCATCCACACCGTCTTCCTGAGAACCACATTAGGACCTTAGGAATTGAATTGCATGTGTTTGCTGTCAAGATGCCGTATCATCCACAGCACTCCAGGGATGGGAGGGACGTAAGAGACATCTTCTGGCGCAGTTCTCCCCTTTGTGTCCCAGAGGCAGGCGGAAGTGTAGCCCAGTGAGGTGACCCACCCAGGGTCATGTGAAGAGAGCCAAGAACTCAGGCTAGAGTCATAATCAGCCTCTCCAGGTCGATCATGCCGTTTCTAGCCTTGTCACGTGGTTCCCCAACACCTCTGCTCTGGGAAGTGGTTTATTTATCTCTGGAACTTTACACAAACCACTCACATGCTACCATGGACAACTTTTTCCTAAGTTAATTACATCTTGGTCCTAAAACAATATTCAGAGCATTTTTAGAAGTAGTTAAAAAAAAAAAAAAAAGTTACCCAGCTGTGTTTAAAAGGAAACGCTGGTATCCAAAAAGAGAAAGCTTAACCATAAGGTAATTTACTATAAAAAGAAATTCAAAACCACCTCCTGACTAGCCGGGGAGTTTAACCTCTCCCATTCACAGGGTCTCTGTGCCCACCACCTGTGTGTCAGTGCATGTCCTTGCTGCTCCCTCCCCAACTGCACATTACTGAGCTGGGAATCTTCCAGCATTTTAACAAACCTTCATTCAGTTCACCTTCAGAGTAATGAATTTCATATGTTGAGTTCATTGTGATGTTTGTCTTACACTTACTAAGAATTTACATCTTAATATTTCTGTGTCCCATTCCCCGATCTTAGTGTGCTAAACTTAGGGACAAGTTTATACCCCCATTCCTGTGGCTCTGGTGCTTTCCCAGACTTCTGTCAGATCCCTCTAGAGCTTTAATATTTAAAGACAAGATAATTAATTTTTTCCAAGATCTTTCTTGTTCCTCATTGGTGAGGCTTTCTTAAAATGCCATAACCCCTTGATTTGATTGTCAGAATTAACTAATTAAATTAGAATAATGGGACCAGCAGTTAGCGTAATGGCTGTCGCTGGACTCCCACGTAGTCGACCGTGGTTCGTGTCCTGGACCCGGTGGCTTAAAACTCACGCCGGGCGCGTGTGCGTACGTGCCCAAGATCCCGAGAGAATGGAGGAGAAGGGATTGTGGCGTGACCATCCCCCCGGGGGGGGATTTCTCACTTTCTGTCTTTCTGTCTCTGTCTGTCTGGCGAGCACATGCGCCCTATAGCAAAAATCTTCAAAAAAAAAAAAAAAATAGAATAAAAAAACAAATAAAATGAGATATCCTTTATTAAAAAAAAAAAAAAAAAGCCATGATCAAGCACTCACCCATCCCATAGGGACACCTGCGCCAGAAATGTGTCTAAGGGCCTGATAATGCTCGCAGTGTTACTTCAGATATTTACACAAGGATATTTAGCATTGACCAGCATTTGCAGCACAGTGAATGTCGAGCTGACGCCTTCAGTCACGTTCACGTTCATTCCTGGTGGTGGCGGCGTGACTCCGGCTGGTGCGCGTTTACTTGGAGCGATGACGTTCACACCGTCATGCCTGTTTCTGGTGCCGCCATCTTGCTGAACTGGAGGCAGCCCCTATGCCCACCTTCCTTTCCCTCAGCAATACTTCATTACATTCACTGTGAAAGGGTGTGAATCGGGGCCTCTCTTTGAGCTAGCACCTAAAACAAGCAATCTCTTTACTATTGCTACATTAGATGAACCTGTGAGGTTCTTATTGATTACCTATGACTGCGCTCTGCAGATGGTATATGCTTGGCATGTACAATAAGTGGTTTGGGGGAAAATACAAAATAAACCCCATGAAGACCTTTGAAGGAATCCTCCCCCCAACTGTCTACTTGTAAGGTCACTATTTAGGTGTTTCTTTTCCATCATTTATTATTTATTTAGCAATGTCATTTCAGGATTTCGTGTGCCTAAGAAGTCCCTTAGTGTCTCACTGTCTCCTCTTGTGAGCATGCTCTTTTAAACTCACCAGCCTGGGCATCAGCCCATTATTCTAGTTTTTTTCCTTCTATTAGGATGCTGGAAAAGTCATGACGGATTTTTCTGTACAAAAATGTGTCATGACTTTCTCGAAGACCCAGTATTGCAGTTTATGGTCATCTCCAAAGAAGCATTAATTATCTAGGTCTTTCTTACCTTCAGCTGTGTCTTACCTGTGTCTTACAGAGGCTTTAGTTTATTTTATTGCCTCATTAAATCCCTCCACCACAGCTGTTTGTCACTGAAATGCTCCTTTTCAGCCCTCAAACGCAGGCTTGTCATTTCCCCGTCAATCGTGGTGGGCTAGTTTGTAAATCATCTGTCACTCTTCAGCATTTTGTCTTTCTTCCTAGTAAAACCTTAGTATTGAGATTTTTCTGATAAATACAAAAGCACTTACAAAAACAAATGTTTGCTCTGAATTCTCTCAGTTACTTCGAAACCAGAGATTTCCCGCATCCTATCACCATGCCGTGGAAACTGTCGTGAATATGCTGATGCCACACATTACTCAGAAGTTCCGGGATAACCCTGAGGCATCTAAGAATGCAAATCACAGCCTTGCCGTCTTCATCAAGGTGGGGACCTTGGGAAAGAGGGTGTCCCTGTGACCAAGGGGTTTTCTTTAACTGTCAAGTGTGCCTAGAGTGGAAAAGTGCTCCTGCAACACCAGTGACATGTTTGTGTGTTCATTGATAACCTGGTTTACAGTAATGCTGATTGAACCCAAATTCCCAAAGCTTGGCCCTAACGACGTACTGACGTATGGGTTGATTTCCTCCGCAGAGATGTTTCACCTTCATGGACAGGGGCTTTGTCTTTAAGCAGATCAACAACTACATCAGCTGCTTTGCTCCTGGAGACCCAAAGGTAATGTGGGTGTTGCACATTGGTCCTTTGGTCTGGCTGATTCACCTCTGGAGCTCCACCTATTTCTCTTGGTTCTCATCAAAATTTTCTTGCAGTCCCAGAGATAAAACTCACTTCCCTTCCTTGAAAATACTAGTATGTATTTGTATTAGTATATGTGCGATATTGGAGCACAGTAGTCCAGAACAAGAAGCAAACATACCAATCTATTGTCCAGTGAACACCAGAAATTACTACTACTACTACTACTACTACTTCTCCTCCTCCTCCTTCCTTTTTCTTTCTTTTTTTTTTTTTTATAGGTTTTTGCCATAGGACATGTGCCATAGGACACGTGCACTCACTGGAGAGAGAGGGGGAAAGTGAGAAATTACCCCCCAGGGGGATGGCCATTCTTGGGATTTTGGACATGCCTGCATATGAACCCTGCATGATTTTCAATCCCCTGGGACTCAAACTGATTAGCCACCATGCCACCTGCTGGCCCCAGAAATGCCTTCTTAACTGCAAAATTAAAGGAATGTGTTGCAAATCATAGCCTATTTGGTAAGATGTCATAAGTACCCATGTAGCTTTTTCTCTAGTAGAATTGTCAAATCCTCTTCCTTTGTTCTTTTTTAAAGCTTTGCCTTACTAATTTTTCATTGCGTTGAGTCTGTATCTATCGTTATGAGCTATTTGAAATCCTTTATGGAAGTTAGGGAGAGCATAAATAATAAATAACCTTAAAGACAGTTGAGGAAATTGTTTAACGACCTGTGTTCTCAATTTTTAAACAAATCCCCACAGTCATTCTAAACTCTGTAAACTGGAATAGAGCAAGAGGGGTATTAGCTCAGTGGTAGATCAGTTGACTTAAAAATGGAATAGTGTGTACAGTTTTGAGAGGTCAAGGAGACTGAGGACTAGGAGTATTACATCTAGTCCTCTAGTAAGTTTTTTAGGCTCCTGTGTAAAATCGCCAGTGATGTATTTAACATATTATTAAATCTTTTTTTTTTTCCCTGCAGACCCTCTTTGAATACAAATTTGAGTTTCTCCGTGTGGTGTGCAATCATGAACATTATATTCCCTTGAACTTACCGATGCCATTTGGAAAAGGCAGGATTCAAAGATACCAAGGTAATCTATATTTACATATATTAGGCTCTTTTCACAAGAGCCTTTACTTTTCATAAGAAAATTTAGTCAAACAATATGTTAAAATTTTCTGAATTTTTTCCTTTGATAAATTAGTTTCCTTTCTTTTTAACTTTCTGTTTTAAAAAGTATGAATAAAATGTTATCAGGGAACTTTTCAGCAAATTTATCAGACCATGTCATGCCAGTGTGACTTTTTCACTGAAAAATCTCTTTGCTTAAACAGTAAAAATCCATTTTACTTAATGTAGTTTTTTTTATTTGTTTCACTTTTTCTTTCTTCTCATGAATTAGCTTTTCTTTCACCAACTGTGGAGTCAAATGACACTCCTGTAGGTAGGTGTGGGTGTGACACTTGCTTTCTTGCATTTTCCTCCTTTAAAAGAAAAAGAATGCAAGTCACTGCAGTTGCAATTTGTTCTCACCATAGCCAAAGACATTACTGTACCGTCTCAGGGAGGCTTCTGGGTTTTTTGTTCCTGGGGTCACTTGGTGCTCTGGGCTATTTCCTTAAGAAGTAAAATAAACAAAAAGCCGCCCTTCAAAAAAGTCATTGCTCTACCATTCTCATGGCCCTCGTCCATGGTGGCAGTAAACGACATCACAAGCAACATGGCTTTTTCACGTGCTTTTTCTGTTTGCCTGTTGAGTCTTCATTAACTCTTCCGCATCCTCCTAAGTTTGTGGAGAGCTGTGCTTGTCGGTATGTCTTCACTGAGGATTCAGATTGGCCCATCGGGTCTGTCAAGTGATACTGAGTGTAGTGCCTTGTACGTACACAAGCCTATGCGTGCCACAGGAGAGAAGGACGCCACAAGACTACTGATTACATTTAACTGCTTCTGAAATCCAGAGAGAAATGTTCAAAAACTAACATTTCCCTTCAAAGGGACTTGTACTGCCTTTTAAGGAGTAGGAAGAACTGTGGCCTTGGAGTGGCATTCATGCATTCAGCAAATATTTACCCAGCGTCAACTGTGTCTTGCTTCGAGATATATTTGTGGACAAATTGGATGAAAATCCTTGGTTTCTTTACATAGTGAGATACATAGAACATCGACCAGATGATAGTTGGAGGAAAGTGAGGAGCTGAACCACACACACACACACATACACACACACACACACACACACACACACACACATACACGCACACACACAATCTGGAAGAAAATTTTCTGTACCTAAGGAACAGGTAGGCCACCTTGGCCCCCTTCTTTGGTCTCACTCCCCATTGTTCCCCCCATTTCTAGCCTACCTGCATACTCTCAGTTCCTCCAACATGGCATGCCCACTCTCAGCACCCCAGACCTCTAATAACCCCCTCCTTCACAATCCTCATCTTCCTTCTTAACCCGGTCTCTTCACACCTGTTATGTGGAGCCTCCTGGCCCTCTTCCAGTGTCCCAGCTGGAGTTAATTGCTCTCCCTGCCCTGTACACCATACCTGTCACACCCCCTTTCACTTCCCGGTCTCTGGTACTTGGGAACTGTGTCTTTTTCTTCCATCTGATAGATGAGTAAGGGCACCTCATGCTCAGTGACGTTGACATGAATGCATACTAATGCCCATCTTGCTTTCTCATCTGGCAGGGCCCTGTCACTTATCACACAGAATTGAGTGAAATGGACATCCTCCAGGTGCCCAGCAGATCTGTACAGCTCTCAGCAGACTTCAGGGTCTTTGCTAGCAAGAGGGCTGCCCTAGGCAGGTGTGCATCGGTAATATACAGATAGCTTGCATTACTACAATGTTAGGAGTCAATCTTTAATATTCTCCTTCCTCTCTCCCATCTTTCTCCTCCCCAGTGCACATACGCACACATGCACATGACACAGGTGTGTGAACACATGCATGATTAGACCAAAAGAAGTTTTCTTCTAAGAGATTTATGTGAATTTAAGCTGTGAACTGTAGTTTAGATAAACTGAGTTTATTAACCATCAACAGGGACGTGATTGTTCTGGAAAAATGAATATTCTTCTCCTTTTCTAATGAAGGATTTCTCTAGGACTAGGGTCAATATTCTTGGCAGACTTATAATTTACTATCTGATATGGCATCAAGTCAAAGGGTTTATAGACTTTATTCTTTTTCTTTTGTAAAAAGTTTGCGAGAGGGTCTGCATGCTCACTGGAGAGAGTCTGAGAGGGAAGGAGGTGAAGTGAGGCTGCACCTCCATGGGAGGTGGTCGTGCTGCAATCCCTTCTCCACCATTTCTCCCTCCTTTCAGGATTTCAGGCTCGCATGCATGCACATGTGCCCGGAGTGTTTCTCAAACTGCCAAGACTTGAACCAGGCAGTAGGCCATGTGGGAGCCAGCCTCCTTACCCACCACACCAATGGCTGGCCCTAGGCTTTCTTTTACTAATAGTGTCGGTGTAACAAGTCAAAGCGCAGCTTCAGCTTCTGAAAGTACGTGTGTCAGCTTTTGTGTGACATTCAGCTGCTTTATTTACCTCCCTTCATGGTCACGCCCCTCTCTTATCCAGGAGAGCTTCCGGTTTTGTCCTTGAGCTTGCTGGTGATTACTCTTTTGGTTTGGTGCTTTATTCATTTTAGTTTTAGTTTATATTAATTTTCTATTTAAGAGGTGATAAAGTGTTGAGGCTGTCTTAGAAAATACTGCATTACCTAAGTTCTTCATCCGGCGGTTGCACAATGAATAGGTTTTGTGCTCATGTGTTCATTTTAAATGCATTGGGACTATATAGGTATTAATGACCAGGAAATAGATGCATGAACCCATATAATAAAAACCCTTTTAATAAACCATGTACGTGTACGTGTTCATTAATTACATGTTTGTTATGCACAAATTACTCTTCTATACCTAATTAGTATAACTGTTCTGCTTCATCAATAAGTTACATTTGTAATGTAGCATGCTATTCTGTATTCTAAGGATTGATACTGACACCATTCACTCATTTAATTGTGTAGAATACAATATGTTCTAAAATTAAAATCCAGTGCAGTTATTAGTATTTCTAGTTGAGTTTTGTTGATGAGTTTGATGGGTTAAAAAGTAGAGCAGCATTTCAGAATCAACCCTTTCCCATTGCAGCCAAGTGTAATCACCTGTTGACATACACAGGCTGGGCTGAATGCAGAGAATGGGTTTGGTTTTTATTTTTTCAAAGAGCACACATCCTCCGTAAGTGAAGTTTCTATCCTCCTTCCAGATCTCCAGCTTGACTACTCGTTAACAGATGAGTTTTGCAGAAACCACTTCTTGGTGGGACTGTTACTGAGAGAGGTGGGGACTGCCCTCCAGGAGTTCCGGGAGGTCCGTCTGATCGCCATCAGTGTGCTCAAGAACCTGCTGATAAAGCATTCCTTTGATGACAGATACGCATCAAGGGTGAGTGGTCCCCAGTGGAAGGAAATAGGCCTTCGTTAATGTCCTTATTTTAAGTGATATAAAGGCGGTAACTAGTTAGAACACTTGTTGTAACAGCCCTAAGATGTTTCTCTGTTTTCGGAATAAAAATCCCATGTCAAAACTGGCCCTGGCCATCTCCTGTATTGGTACCTACTGCATCGTCAGAGCCATGAGACAAACTCAGTGTGTCTGGTTTCAGAGTCATCAGGCGAGGATAGCCACTCTCTACCTGCCTCTGTTTGGGCTGCTTATTGAAAACGTCCAGCGGATCAACGTGAAGGATGTGTCCCCCTTCCCCGTGAACCCAGGCAGCGTAAGTCAGCATGGTCAGGTGGACATGGCCTGTGTCATGTCCTAGGGCAGGGATGCCACTTGGTCTTTATGTTGTGTACTTGGGGAGTTTACATGCATTTTTCTGCCCCTTTTACCCTAACAGTGGGGCGTCGTTCTATGTTCTGTACTACCTCTTCGCCTCCGGATACATTTCCTAAAGACGTTACACATTTATAGGCTTGGCACACATTTATAGGCTTGAAGGTGTTCTAGAAAACATAATTCTCTGTCCTGAGTGTTCCCTGCTGCTCACATCATGTTTGGTGTCATGCCTCACACACGTGTCCTCCAGCTCTGCTTCTGTCACCAGAGTCCGTGATGCAGGGCACAGTGTGACCTCCCTGGACTGTGTCAGCTAAGAATAATGAGCACGAGGTCCTTCTCTGACTTTCATTGAAGTAAACCCTTCCTGACATAACTTCGAATTTAACGTATGTCTTCATTGACTGCTGTTGAGGCAGAGTCCCCTGAATCCGGCGTCTGTCATTGCTGCTGTGGTGGCTCCCTGCTGCTCATTTTGGGAGGGGTTCCCTGTGAGAGCAGAGCCCGTGTTCCAGTAGGAACAGCAGAGGAGACTTTCTTGTAAGAAAAAATACCAATGTAATCTAAAGAAGTGGTCGGGCGTCTGAGTTCTGGACAGGGAGAGGTGCTAGAACTGCTAGGTAAAGAGAGCAACCTCGCGGAGCAGGGCCTCTCTGCCCACCCAGACTTCGTAGCCTGTGCCCCTGCTCTCCCTGCTCCTCCTGCGAGCACTCTGAGCTGCGGACATGGGCAGGCTGTTCTGTCTGGCTCTTACACTGCCCCCACTCCCAAGAATGGTGGTTGAGTCTCTTTCAAGTTATCTGAGATTATTTCATGTCTTTCCTCCCTCCTTTGACAGACCATGAAAGACGAATCCCTTGCTCTGCCCACTGTGAACCCCCTAGTGACGCCGCAGAAGGGAAGCACGCTGGACAACACCCTGCACAAAGACCTCCTCGGCGCCATCTCCGGCATCGGTAATGTTCAGTGCTCTTGGTGGCCCCTTCAGTGTCCCCTCTGCGGGGATCTTCACTCCCAGAGTTCATTCCCATGTCATGCTTACGCATTAGGTCTTCAAAGTCTGAGTTTTCACCCTGAATATCCCTTTCCTGAGTGCACTGTTTCTTGACTGAGATTCCTTAACTGTGTACTGATCCAATTCTGTGACTCCTGAACATAGTATGTGTAATCCCTTCCTTGTGTTGTTCACTTTTTGTTTAATGCTTGTTAAAGTTGACATATTATTTTAAATCTTAATTGGATTGCTTGTGCTTTTAGGAAAAAAATGTCTTTGCAGGTATTGAAGAAGGGAAGAATTTATTGTAGTGTGAGCAATTTCGATGAAATGGAACAATAATTTATAAAGGAGATAGGTAGTTAGAATTTAATCCTAAAATCAGTTTTTAAAAATCTTCTGTTCTTCGATTTTTTTTTTTTTTTTTTGGCTGTCTGAAATAACTGGAAGAACAGCTCCCATGGAAGGGAAAACAGATGGCATAAATTAAAATTCAAATAGTAGTTTCTCCATGAGAAGATGTACCTCTTTGTGCTCTGACTAAACTGAGCCTCTTGCCAGCACCCGTGTAAAGATAATGGTACCCAAAATATATAGATGTAGGTATTTTCAAAGAGTTGTCACAGGTGTTCACAGATGACATCTGTATTTAGCTCCCCCTCTCTTTCCCACACTCTGAATAAAGGAAACATCCTACCATGGCTAGTGAGACTTCCAATAATGGGATGAATTCCTGGGACAAAATAAAGGCAGTCCTTTTACCCAGTTAATTTGCAAGACTCCTGTCCATCCCGAGTTTACTGCTTATTGCTGTGCCCTTTCATGTACGTGGTGAAATAGGTAGAAAATAAAAGCAGAATGTCTACACCAATGCCCAAATTTATCCTACAATATCAATACTGATCCTTAATATTATTTATATTTATATTTTTTCTATAGTTATACCCTACTTGTTGTCATCATAATGATGAAAAGAGCTGGGGCTGGCAGGTGGCGTGGTGGTTAGGGGTGCTGGACTCCCACATGGCCGACTGATGTTTGAGTCCCAGACCTGGCGGCTGGCTTTTTCACTCTCTCTCTCTCACTTTGTCCCTCTCTGGTCAAATTAAAAAACAAATAAGTAAATAAATAAATAAAGTTACATGAAACAATCCTTTAAAAATACTAAAAGAAAAAAAAAAAAGATGAAAAGAGCTAATTAATGCAAAATGCTTGGGGCAGAGCCTGATCAGCAAATACTGACTTCTGTCATGAGTTTCCATTTTGGGGGGGCCTTCAACTCTGTCTCTCTCCTGCTGTGCCTACATGTTCAGCTGCTCTTCTAGAAATAGGGAAGGGAACCTTTTTTAGAACGTTTGGTCTGCAGCAATTCACACACTAGCTTTATAGTCAGACAGATGAGGCTTCGGATCTAGATTTGACCATACTAGCTGCCACGGATTGCATGTCCACTTTTGCCTCCAGACCGTATCTCCATAGCAGAGTCACTGTGAGGAATAAAGGGCAAATACGGTGTTTACAGTGCTTGGCGCAACGAGGAGTCAGATGAGTCCAAACATCCCCTCACTGCCGTTTGGTCATTTCCACAAAGTTCTGAATGCTTCTGTTTGACTCATTCGACTATTTGACTTCTCCAGTTTAGAATTCACCTTGTTAGGATCTGAGATGTTTTGGGAATTTTGACATGAGTTGGCCTTCAATTGCTCTGTGTTCATGGTACAGTTATGAAAAGTTCTTGAGATTGATATAATCTCTTCTCACTTTCTTGAGTTCTAAGACCCAAATTTGTTTTTTGTAAGAATGCACTACAAAAAGCTTTTTTTTTCCTTTCAGTTTTTGCCATAAGGCATGTGTGTTCACTGGGGACAGACAGAGAGAGACAGTGAGAGGGAAAGTGAGAAATTACCTTCTGGGAGGCTGACCTTGCTACAACCCCTTCTCATCCATTCTCCTCCTAGAATTTTGGGTACACATGCCCAGTGTAATTTTCTTTTTTATTATTATTATCTTTTATTTATTTATTTTGGGGGGAGAGGTTTTTTGCTATAGGGCGTGTGCGCTCCCCAGACAGACAGACAGAGACATAGAGACAAAGCGAGAAATCACCCCCCAGGGGGGATGGTCATGCCGCAATCCCTTCTCTTCCATTCTCCTCTCGGAATCTTGGGCACGCACGCACATGCACCCAGCGTGAGTTTTAAGCCACCAGTTCCGGGACGTGAACCACGGTCGACTACGTGGGAGTCCAGCAACATAGCCATTACGCTAACTGCTGGTCCCTGCTAGCGTAATTTTCAAGCTGCGGTTGACCGTGTGGAAGTCCAGTGCCTTAACCACTGTGCCATTGCTGGCCCCCACTAAAAGCTTTTTTATATTCAGGTTTCACATTTCTTCTCATCTTGGAAAAACCTAAATCCTTGTTCCCTTTTAGGTAAGCCTTCCAAGGAAACCTCATCTTTGAACTGGGTTATTAGTTTTCTTCTGGTAGCTTTAGTAGGTTTTTTTTTTTTTTTTTTTTTTTTTCCCATTCATCAGGAACTATCCAATCCATTCAAGAGCAGACTTTCTCCCTATATCTCTGTTCAGAAGAAATCTTATTTCCACACTGATTGAGAATGTGCCCTTACTAGGTTTTTCAATGTCTTTGGAGCATGGTGCTTGATCATTTCTAAAGCTGATTCATTGTCTGGATTAAAAAACCACTCTGAGATTATATTCATTTTAAAAGGCAAACATTTTTAGGCTCATGGTTTCTTTTTCCACCTACTCAGTGTATTGCATTTTTTGTACATATCAGAGAAGAGTGAACAAATTTCTTTCCCTTTTATTCACAAGTTGTTTAAGGTCTTTAAAAGCTATGCACTGGGAGGATATGAAATACAAACACACATACACAAACACATACATAACAGGAATGAACTAAGCATGTTGATTTAGATTTATTGCATTTCCATCTGTTTGCCTTAAATTAGGAGTATAGTTCTGGAATCAAGTCTAGAACTTAGAATTTTGGGTCTAATTTTTCCTTTTACTGAGAGCCTCTTTCTCCTGAGTTCTGTGTTCTCCATTTAAAATGAAGCATGGTTATATTAGGAAAATTATAATTGTTATTTTGTCCTAGTGTATATTTCTTTTCTCTCTGACTATAGAAAAGGCTCATAGTTTTTTCATAGGCTTTTCACTACTTCCTTATGACAATCAATTGCACAGTTTCTATCCTGGTAAGATGCATCCTACGGCAGACAGGAAGGCCCAAAGATCTACATGTTTTAACCTTCACTTATATTTTTTAATTTCCTTGGTTCTTCTTTTCTTGGTTTCAGTACACTGAATCAGTTTCAGGGACAGCAGTGGATAAACCTGAGTGTTTTGTAGGGGAGGGATTTATGACCTTGGTGTCATGGGTCTTTCTTCTAAGGATGAAGACCGTCTTGACATTGTCTGAGAAATGAGGAGTGTGTTCCCTTTTCCATCGTATTTAAAAGTGTGACAACTGAGTGACTTATAGAAATTCTCCTGGTGCAACCCAAAAGTTATTCATTTGTCTTTTAACTTAGAAGTGTCTCAGTCCAGGGCCAGCCCTGTAGCACAGAGTTAGCACTGTATAGAGGGAGCCAGATCCTACATGGCTAACTGATGTTCGAATCCCAGCTCCACTGGCTTGAAAAACCAGTGTGTGTCTGTGCAAGCCCAGAGTCCTGACAGGATGGAGAATGGAGGAAGCAGTCGTGATGTGACCAGTCCCCACTGAGGGGTGTTTTCTCTCTCTCCCTCTCTGGCTCTCTTTTGCAAAGACATACACCCTCTGGCAATCAAAGAGGGAAAAAATAATTGTCTCAGTCTATGGCAGCTAATTTGCCTGCTGAAATGTGAAGACGACCGGCCTGTTGTGAGGTGGTGGTCACAGCATCTTCACCTTGTATCTGGAAGGCTGTGCTTACAGCTGCCGAGCACTATGCCAAGATATCCTCATGCCATCTGCAAAACCAGCCAGGCCTTCCCATTGCAGCACAAATGCATGGTGTGGTTTAGCACAGAATGTGCAAGTCCGGAGAGTCATTTTTAATTACGTGATTTACTTAAATCTTATCTAAGCAGGAAGTCTATTTATTGCCTTAAGAAATTCCACAGTACCGAGGCTGATGTCTGCCTTCAGATGCTATTTTTTTCAAGAACAGTACAAATTTGATTCCCAAGTTACATCTCCTTTCTGCTCATAATTGTTTATAACAGAGATTTCTGAATATTCTCAGATCACAGCCCCCTATTGTCACAGTAATTTTCACTATGGTGTTCCCCAGGCCAAAAGAAACACTGAATTATGTTTACTAGGCACTTATGGCCAAATAACTTAATAACTACTTATATTCTAACAACTCAGTAAGCATTTGAAAAAAATAATGTATAAAAGTTTAAAGAAAAATACTTTAATTTTATTTTAATGACCTTATCTATTACAAATAACTTATGTGTGCATATTAAACACTCACAACTTCTTAAAGTTTGAAATCAGATTATTCACCACCATCCTCGTTTCCTTCCACACTGATTTTCAGCTAGTACTTGCTTTTTATCATAGAAACCACGAAATACCCAACGTCACAATGGTATGAGATTATCAAAGGAACATGCACAACCTAATGCTGAAACGGCGGGTTCTGGCCAGTGTTGAGTATCATTGTGTTTTCCTTGAAGTTTAAAAATATCTCAGTTGGGTTCTAACTGAAAAAAATAAAGTAAAATAGCCCATGATGCTTCTCAGAGTTTGCTAAGGCACCTTCGCACATACAGTGCGAGTACCCAAGTTCGTTATGTGATTTAATCTTTTGATTTGACAGTTGAAGATATCTTTTACTTTTTAAAGTCTTCATTCTATCTTGTTCTGAAACTGGTCCTCAAAAGTGTGCCCCTTTAATCTTAACAAAGGTGACTTCTAATAAACAAATAGATACATTAGAATGTTTTTGAGTAACGTTTATTTTTATTTTACTCTTTATAACCCAGTTTTATTTTTTTAAAGAATTATTTATATAATTTTATTTATTATTATTTTAAATTTGCTAGGGGACATATGTGTTTGCCAGAAAGAGAGGGAAAGTAAGAAAGTAAGCCACCAGGTCTGGGACTCAAACCGCAGTCTGCTCTGTGGGAGTCCAGCGCCATGACACGTGCTGACTTCAGTGACCTGGTTTTATAAAGGGAAAGCAATTGAGGGAACCAGCAGTTAGCGTAATGGCTATGTCGCTGGATTCCCACGTAGTCGACCGCGGTTCGTGTCCCGGACCCGGTGGCTTAGAACTCATGTGGGAGTCCAGCACCTAAACCACAGCACCTGGGGCTGAAGCACAATGTCTTAGCATGGTGTGCCATTGCAGCTAGGCTATGAACTAATTTGGTTCTCTTATCTACAAAAATACAATGGCATGAAAGCCACCCGTATTTTTCTATTCAATTTTTATTATTTTAGGAGTAAAACATGAATCATTCAACTCATTAGAAACCATTTAATAGTTGAAGCTCTCCTGAGCTCTTAAAAAAATTTGAGACTGGGAACCAGCAGTTAGCGTAATGGCTATGTCATTGGACTCCCACATAGTTAACCGCGGTTCGTGTCCCGGACCCGGTGGCTTAAAACTCATGCCGGGTGCGTGTGCGTGCGTGCCCAAGATCCCGAGAGGAGAATGGAGGAGAAGGGATTGCGGCGTGACCATCCCCCCTGGGGGGTGATTTCTCGCTTTCTGTCTCTATGTCTCTCTCTGTCTGTCTGGCGAGCGCACGTGCCCTACAGTGAAAATCTCTCCAAAAAAAAAAAAAAAAAGGGAAAGCAATTGAATGCTGCTCCTGAGTCAGTGTCCTAGCAGAAAAGTGAGTGCCATAAAAGCAATTTCCTTAAAGCGCAGTATTTGAGTTTATTTTCCTCTTTCCTACTGAAACGTTGGTCTTGGCTTAATTTCTATCTAGCTTCTCCATATACAACTTCGACTCCAAACATTAACAGTGTGAGAAATGCTGATTCGAGAGGATCTCTCATAAGCACAGATTCGGGTAACAGCCTTCCAGAAAGGAATAGTGAGAAGAGCAATTCCCTGGATAAGGTAACTTTTCACACAATACCAGCTTTTCTTCCAACTGATGGATTTAACCCAAAGTAAACAGGCTTCATTCATGTTGTAGTGTCTGTTCACCGTGGGCTTTTGTGTCTTAAAGAAGTCATTCCCCTGGAGTAGATGATGAGAACTTTATCTAAGATTGAGGCCCTTTCCCTTAGATCAGGGTGATGTTGGCAGTGGAGCACCTTGAGTAAGTGGTTCCAGACGACTAGGGACCAAAAAGGCACCCATTTCGAATGCCCAAGAACACCACCTATCACACAGCTAGCTACCCATGCATATGGGTGGTAGGTCCAAAGCCAGCCCAGAAAAAATACCCTGATCCCACAGTGGTTCATCATAAGGCTGGAAGTGAAGTCACCCTTTCCTCACTGCTCCCCTTCCAACACAACACTTCATCCTCTTCATTTTTTTCCTTAAAATTACTGATGGCCTAGACTATGTGGAACTTTCTGGGGAAGCATAAGGCTTGACTCTACACCTGGAACGACAGTAGATTGATACCACCTTGACTACTGATTTCCCAAGTTATTTCAGGCTACAGGCAGGCACCCATACCAATAAACAGGCGAACCGTTGAGGGATATAATATAGTCCAGTTCTCGGAAAATGTCTGGAAGACATCCTCCCTCAGTGTCAGGTTGGTCATCTTGTCACATACTCCAGGTCTGGCGCTGATGTGATTATCTTAAATGCCATTGTGTTGAGGTGCAGGCATCTCAGTGCAGGTATGTCATGATGTGTTGAACTTTTCCCTTGACCTCAACATGCCTTCGTGTGTAGAGGGAGAAGCTGCTCAGAAGGCACTCCGCTTGTGTCATACGCAGTGCTGGAGAGGAGGAGGAGAGCTGCCAGTCAGCCAGGAAAAACCGGGTCACTGTGGACTTTTCCCTTCTAACGATTCCACCTTTGCCAGAGGAAGCATTGCATGCTGCACCCGCCCTCCCCCTGCAGGAAGTACTGAGTTCTAGTGACTGACTGAGCGGGCGTGCCAGATGATGCGTTCATGCCAGTTTTGCCACTAATAGCACCTTTATTTCTTCCTGAAATAAAAATATTCACAGCTCTTATTAAACCTATTATATATCTATATATAGATAGATAGATATACACATACATATACACACACACACACACACACACACACACACACACA